CGGGACCGGTCATTGCGACTCACGCCACTACACTCCCGTGCCCAGCTGCTCCTTCCGGTTCCCTGACTGGCCTCCACGTTCCTTCGTTCTCTAGGAACCTGGTTGGTGTGGGCACACTGGCGAGACAGCACATCGGGGTCTGGGTTGAGCCTTCTAGTGACACCGCGGTCTGTGTGGACGGTGACACGTACGCCCCCTTAGCCACTTTTCGCCAGGAGCCGGGATCCGGTCTGTACACCCTCCGCACCGACCCCCGTCAGGTTCCCCCGTCCCACCAGGTAGCCGGGTCCAGTCAGGTTGCTGTGTCAGGTGTAGTGGCTGCGTCGTGCTCGTGTCGGTCGCTTGCCCACCCCTCCCTCCTCTGGCACCACCGCCTTGGTCACCCTTCCCTCCCTCGTCTCCGCGCTATGTCCAGTCAGCGTCTTGTCTTAGGCCTCCCCCGAGTCCTCCCGCCACTCCCGTCGTCCCCAGCTCCTCCGTGCGGTCCTTGTGTCCAGGGTCGGCTGCACGCCACCCCTCACTCCTCCTCCCTTCGTCCGGCCACCGAGCCCTTCGAGACTCTCTACTTAGACGTCTGGGGCCCCGCTCCCCGTCTTGGCCCTCAGCGGGAGAGTTTCTTTCTGGTGGTCGTTGACGACTACTCTCGGTACACCACCGTGTTCCCTTTGGCGAAGAAGTCCGACGTGACTTCTACGCTGATCCGGTGGCTCCTCGCCACCGAGGGCACTCGCGGTCGTCGTGTCAGTTGTCTTCACTCCGACCGTGGGGGTGAGTTTCGCTCCGGCATTCTCGCCAGATTCTGTGCTGAGCTGGGCATCACCCAGTCCTGGACTCTTCCAGACTCTCCACAGCAGAATGGGGTTGCTGAGCGCCGCTTAGGCCTGGTCATGGAGATCGCCCGCACCTCCATGATCCACGCCCGCGCGCCCCATTTCCTGTGGCCCTACGCGGCTCGGTACGCCGCTCACCAGCTGAACCTCTGGCCTCGCGTCTCTCGGCCAGGGGCTTCACTGACCAGTCTTTGGACAGGGTTCCCTGGTGTTGCGTCGAGGTTTAGTGTCTGGGGCTGCTTGGCTCTTGTCCGCGATACCTCTGCGGACAAGATCTTGCCTCGCGCTGTCCCCTGTGTCTTCCTTGGTTTCCCAGAGGGCTCCTCTGACTTCACCTTTTACCACCCTCCCTCCCACCGGTTCTTTGATTCTCGTGACGTCCGTTTTGACGAGTCCGTCCCCTACTACGTCCGGTACCCCTGTCGAGGTCTCCCGGTTCCCCCCCCTCCCCTCTTCCTGGCTCCAGCTCCTCCTCCTCCCGCCCCTGCTCCTCCGGTACCCCCCCCTGTCCCCGCTCCGTCTGGTGTGTCCCACGCTACTCCCCCCCCCTCGGTACCCCCCAAGGTCTCTCCTCCTTCCCCACAGTCGTCCTCACAGCCTCCGCAGCAGCCGTCGGCGCTTCCTTTACCGGCCACTGCGGACTCTGAGGGTGTTGGTGCTCGAGGTGAGGGCTCTGGGGGTGCTCGCTCTGGGGGTGCTGGCGTTGGAGCTGTTCGTGCACCTACAGGAGCAGCCCGTTCTGGGGGTGTTGGCGTTCGCGCTGAGCGTGCACCTGCCGCAGCTGCCCGTTCTGCGGGTGCTGGAGCTGGTGGTGTTTCTGGAGCTGGAGAGTCTGGGGCTGGTGCTGGTGCCACTGGGGGCACCACGCCTGGGGGTGCGGGTGCGCCTCCTACTGATGCTGGTCGTGCTGCCGCGGGAGGTACTCGCTCTGGGGGTGCTCAGCCGGGTACTGTTGCGGACGGAGCCGGTTCTTCTGCTGCGCCTCTTGACACCACTCCTCCTCCTCACCCCTACCCGACTCGTTACCATACCCTTCTTCGTCTTGAGCGTGAGGAGCAGCAGCGTTTGGAGCGTGAGAGGTCGGAGGTTCAGCAGCGGGTGGAGCGTGAGAGGTTGGAGTTGCAGCAGGAGCAGCAGCAGCAGCAGCAGCAGCAGCGGCCGCAGCAGCCGGAGCAGCCTCCGGCCCCTGTTTCTGGCCTTCGGGCCCTTGGTCTCCCCTCCTCTCCTCCCGTGTTCGGTCCTACGTTTCCTCCTCCGGACTCAGCTCCGGCTGTGTTCCCTCGTTCTCAGTCTCCTCCGTCTCCCCCTCCACTCGCCCACACTTGGACCTCTCGTCCTCCTCGTGCTCGTCCCTCGTCCCCTGTCACTGACCTCTGTACTGCTTTGTTTCGTTCTAGTCCTCCTCGTCCTCCTCAGTCTGTTCTTCCTCGTCCTCCTGAGTCGTCCCTCACTGCCTCCCTGTCCACTCCGGTCTCTGACTACTACCGCACGTACCGCCCCACTCTCTCTCGTGTTCTCGCCTCTCTTATTACAGACCCTCGTGCCTCTCCTTCCTCCGTCACGGTCCTCACTGCCGCTGTCACTGACGTTACTGCTACGCGTCGCCTTGACTACGCCACTCGTGTTGTGGCCGCTCCTCCTGTCCGTCCTCTGTCCGCCGGGGGTGAGTCTGCCCTTGGCTGTGACGTCCTAGAGGACAGACATTTTGAGCTAGAGTTCCTGGCAGCTGCTTCGCCTCATCTCTGTGCCATGCTCCTCGCTCCTGAGGGAGACCCCGACGCTCCTGACATACCTACTCCTCGCACTTACGCTGAGGCAATGTCAGGGTCTTGGGCCTCTCAGTGGAGAGCTGCCATGGATGCAGAGATGGCCTCCTACAGGTCCACAAGCACTTACGTTGACGAGGTTCCCCCCCCAGGGGCGAACATCGTTGACGGCATGTGGATCTTCAAGGTGAAGCGGCCGCCGGGATCTCCCCCAGTCTTCAAGGCACGCTACGTGGCTAGAGGGTTCAGTCAGCGTGAGGGAGTTGACTTCTTTCAGACCTTCGCGCCCACCCCGAAGATGACCACTCTTCGGGTGTTAGTGCACGTAGCAGCGCAGAGAGACTACGAGCTACACTCTCTTGACTTCTCCACTGCCTTCCTCCAGGGCCGCCTACACGAGGAGATCTGGCTGCGTCGTCCTCCGGGCTTCACTGGCACTTTCCCGCCAGGGACCCAGTGCAGCCTCAGACGATCGGTCTACGGTCTCCGCCAGGCACCCCGTGAGTGGCACGACACTCTCCGCTCGACTCTCTCCGACCTCGGGTTTGAGCCGTCTTCCGCCGACCCGTCGCTGTTTGTTCGTCGTGGGCGCACACCTTTCTTCGTTCTCGTCTACGTTGACGATCTGGTTTTTGCCACAGCCGACACAGTTGCACTGGCGGAGGTGAAGTCCGAACTGCAGAAGAGACACACCTGCACTGACCTTGGGGAACTGCGCCGCTACCTTGGCCTGCAGATCTCCAGGGACAGAGCTGCTCGCACCATCACTCTGACTTAGTCACACATGGTGCAGCAGGTCCTTCAGCGGTTCGGGCTTCAGCACTCTTCTCCTACACCCACCCCTCTTGCTGTAGACCACAGACTCACTGGGCCTTTTCCTGACGAGCCGTTCGAGCCCAGTGGTCCCTACGCAGAGCTGGTGGGCTGTCTCATGTACCTGATGACGTGTACTCGCCCGGACCTCGCCTTCCCTCTTAGCATCGTTTCTCGCTTTGTTGCGACTGGGAGACACCGTCCCGTTCACTGGGCGGCGGCTAAGAGGGTGGTGAAGTACCTCGGCGCGACATCAGACATGGGGCTTGTACTTGGAGGGACACAGCTAGTTGTACTCACCGGTCACTGCGACTCCTCATACGCCGACGACGTTGAGACTCAGAGGTCTACACAGGGTTACTGTTTCAGCCTGGGCTCTGGAGCTGTTTCGTGGAGGTCTACTCGGTCCTCCTCTGTTGCGACTTCTACCACAGAGGCCGAGATCTACGCTGGAGCCCTTGCTGCACAGGAGCTACGCTGGTTGACCTTCTTGCTCACTGACCTTGGTGAGCGGCCGAGCTCTGCACCGACCTTGTTTGCTGACAACAAGGCGATGATTCTCCTGTGTCGTGAGCCTCGACTGGAGAGCAGAGTGAAGCACATCGACGTCAGGTACTTCCTCCTTCGAGAGTTGCAGCGACGCGGACAGGCTCGTCTGGACTTCGTGGCCTCCGAGGCCAACACTGCAGACATCTTCACCAAGGCTCTTCAGCCTTGTGACCACCGCCGGTTTTGTCTGCAGTTAGGTCTCGTTGAGACTGGGTCTAGTAGACTACAGTAGTGATTTCTTGCCTCTTGTGTGTGTGTACCATATATATATTAACTTAGGGTACATTCCTGCGGGGACACTTGTGTCTCAATCCCCGATTTCCCGAGTCGCGCCTGTAAATTTGCCAAATGTTGTGTCACAAACAACCAATGTATCGCGACTCTAGGCGACCAGGCGAGATGTACAGTTGTGCGCATTTGTTTGGGTGACACAAATGACTGTACATCCCTTTTTTCAACCGCTTGGCTGGGGTGTGGTTTCGACGAGCGGGATTTTTTCCCGCACGAAATTGGCATTGCAGGCTGTCCAGGTGCATTGACATTTCGAGCAGCGTGCGAATTTTTCACATTGACGAGTCAGATTACAATTCGTCAGCGACGTCAGCGCGTTTCACGCTGACCAATAAAAAATACAGTAATGGTCGCGGAAATGCGACTCGCAATTGGGACACACTACAGTTTATGCTGTTTTTGTGTGTCACAAAGCGATTGAGACATTTGTGTCTCCACAGGAATGTACCCTTATACACTCTTGAATTGGCCTTGTGGCCCCTTGTTTGTGCTCAGGCTGTGTGGTGACGTTGTGATCCACCCTGAGCTTTGTTTCCTCTCTTGCTTGCGACTGGTCTTGTGACCTTAGGTTGCGTTTCTTGTTGTTTGGCATTCCCCACTTAGGCTATGGGGGTGTGTCAAATGTTATAGCCTTCAGTGGGTCATGCCATATGGGGTACAAACAGTTAGGGTTAGGTACTTGTACTCCAAGCAATGCAACTCATTCCGCTGTAGCCACTTTCTGAGAAACTCAACACCACATGCTTGCTCTTCAAACTGCACTTTCCTGTGGGGCCAAGAGGAAGAGCGCCTCACAGAGCGCCAGCAGGTCCGCTGGCCTCAGCTCCACAGGCCTCTCTATTCCCTTGGAGTAATCTCGCCCCACCACTCTCTCCACCATTGCCCTCGGCACCCCTGCACCTTGAATCCCTTGACCGCGTTGACCCTGTTGACCCCCTTCACCCCCTTCCACCTCCTCCATCCCTTCCACTCCATGGAGTGCGCCCACCATTCCGCCCACAATAGCTGCATTTGTATCCGTGTCTCCCCCTCGCACCAGTGTGTCCTCAAGCGCCTCGTCATAGCTGGACCTGCGGAGTAGGTGGTAGAAGGCGAGAAGGAAGCCCCACTTGACCCACCCTATGAACTTTGTGCACTCCACCTGCAGCGCACACCCCTTGCCACCAGTCTGCTTGCTGGTATCAATGCCTTGTGTGTCCGTCACGCCTGCCTGCCGCCCTTCTCCTCCATGCTCCACCCCTCTCTCCTCTCCCTGCTCTCCCCTCTTTCCCGCCTCTCCTGCCTTTCCCCTCCCACATGTCCCGAGTGCGCCCATCACCTGCTGCAGCGCCTGCTTTCCCCACCCACCCACAGACCCCCTGCCTGCCTGCCTGCCCTGGACACCCCTCCCTGCGCTCCCTCTGCCTGCTGCTGCACCAGCCCCACTCGCTGCCCCGCTCCGCTCCCCACCCCCCTCTGCTGCCACTGCCACTCGCACGTGCTCCAGCCACTCACCCACCGTCTCAGCCCCTCCCTTTTTCCCTCCGCCCCCCACCCACATCGCACCTCCCCTTTTCCTTTCCCTCGCAGCCCACATCGCAGCCTCCTCAAACGCGCCCTGCGCGTCACCAGGGTGGTTGATGAGGTGCGCGATGGCTATACAGTAAGCAGCGGAGGCGGCGCGGCACGTGGGGTTAGTGTGCGAGAGCGACGCGTCCAGAGCAGCGCACTGCGCCACGGCGTGCGGGGGCAGGCGGTGCGCCCACACCGCCAGCGGCGTCACTCTCATCAGCGCGCCGTTCGCCTGGCTGTTCATGCGAGTTGCGGCGTTTGTCTGCATCTGCTTCGCCATCTGCTGCTCGAGTTTCTCCGTCTTCGCTTGTTCCGCTGAGGAGTACGGGGAGAAGGGGGAAGAGACAAAGCCGCCGGCGGGGGGAGGCGGGTGGGGGAAGCGGAACGCGGTGGCGCACGTGTTGCCCATGTCAAACGGCCTGGAGAACCCCCAAAAGTGGTACGCGCGCGCCACGCGCCCCAGCGGGAACCCGCCCTCCCAATACCCCCCGCCCGCTGCTCCCGCTGCGCCGCTGCCGCTTCCAGGCTCCGCCGCCGCAGGTTCGGCGCCGCGCGACGCGCAACCACCCGTGCTGAGAGGCGCGTCCGCCGGCGGGGGAGAATCACTACTACTGGTATTAGTACTCGCGCCGCTAGTAGCAGCAGGCGGCGCGCGCGCGGCGACGAGGGCGCGCGCGAGGCAGAGCGCAAGCTCGCTGTCGTCCGTGATCTGCCCGGGACCCACGCGGAAGACGCCGCCGCCCGGCATGGTGATGGCGCGGCGCGCTGCCTCTGCGGTGACGACGCCTCCGAACTCTAAGACCGCCCCGGCCGCGTCGCCGGCGAACGCGCCGACGATGGCGCCGGTGGCGCGGGAAAGGGACCGAGAGCGGGCGGGTGAGAGCGAGAGAGAAGGGGAGGGGGAGGGGGAGGGGGCGGGGGAGGGGACCATGGTGGTGCGAAGTGCGAGAGTTGACAGCGATGCGAGGGCGAGAGTCGTGAGATGAGCGGTATCAGCGGCGGTAAAAGACGCGTTGCGATCTATTTCTGACACCAGTGAATGTGTCAAGTAACGCTTTTGTAGACAACTTCCCTAGTCGACTCGTGAGTCGTAGTGACTCGTGATTCGCGAAAGTTGAGTCGTGAGTCGCGACGTGTGGCGGAGGACCTCCTCGAACACCTTGAGTACAGCGTGGACTGGCGGAAAAAGAGACGTTCTGAACACGGCGCGCTAGAGCTGGTTTGGAGTTGCTGCCAGGATGAAGTTCGTGAGTCAACGAGTCAACGAGTTCATGTTAGGGCGTATTCGTAGCTTTGTGTCATCCGAGCTTCGTGTCATCCGAGATTATGGGATCCAATCGAAAAATCCAAAGCTCGAAACGCGGGTTTTCCAATTGGCTCCCACAATTTCGGATGACACAAATACGGGACGACACGAAGCTACGAATACGCCCTCAGTCATTGTTACGGGTGCAATTAATCGAAGTAGCGAGAATTGCACTTAGGTGTCAAACGAGTACAAAATGTGAGCGAAGGCATGAGCGAACATTTATACGCGAAACATGCAAACGGTAACGAGGTGCGTGCGAGCTAGCTAGTGCTATGCTGGAAGCGAGGCTCGGGCTAGTCCCGAAGCGTAGGCCGACACGGCCAAGCCAGCAGTGCGAGGTTTGGTGAAACAGTGCGCGCGAAGTCGGCGAAGCCCCGTTAGCAGTAACGGGCGAACAACGGCTGCTGCTGTACGCGATGTTGCAGGGCGCGCTAAGGAATGTCGAGAAAATTCCTTACACTACCCCCCCCCCCCCCCCTCAAGAAGCCCCCTCCGCTACGCGAGTGCGTGTATATCGCGGAAACCCCGGCTCCTCAGGTACACTTGCAGGGCAAGGTGGTTTTCGATGTTGGCCAAGGGCACCCAGCTATCTTCAGTTGGCGTGTGATCCTTCCAGCGAACGAGGAATTCAATCCTCCTGATTCTCGTGGGGTGTCGAATCCGATGGCTCATGATTTTTTCGGGTTCGATGATCGGTTCCGATGCAGGGCGAGTCATGGATGGCGGACGGTGACGAGGCAGTTGGCTTGTGGTTGGGATGTATGGGCGAAGCAGGCTGACGTGGAACGAAGGGCTGATGTACCAGTCCGTCGGCAACAGTAAGTGGGCTGTCTCTGGGGTGATCATGTGGCTGATTTGGAATGGTCAAAAGTAGCGGGGTCGTACTTTCGGTACGACGGGCAGTCTTAAGTTCTGTGTATCGAGCAGTACGTAGTCTCCTGACTGGTACGTGACTGGTCGGCGGTGGCGGTCAGTGTTGCGCTTAGCGATGACATTGGCTTTTTTAATTGCTTCTGCGGCTCTGGTGCGGGCAGCTTGCAGAATTTCGGCGAATTGCTGTGCACGTGGTGTTGGGTTGTCCGGACTCGGCGTCATGGGCACTGTAGGATTTTGCCCGTACTTCAGGTAGAATGGGGACTGCTGCGTCGTCGCTGACGTGGCGTTGTTATACGCGAACTCGATCAGCGGCAGCTGCTGCTCCTAAGTGGTCGGGTCGTCGCACGTGGCACGAATCAACTGCTCCATCGTCTGATTCGTCCGCTCCGTTTGACCGTCGGTCTCGGGGTGGTACGACAAGCTGAACTGTAGCCTTGTCCCGAACTGCTCCCAGAGGTTTTTCCAGAAGTCGCTGGTGAACTTCGTGTCGCGGTCGCTGATTATCGCGGCTGGTATCCCATGTAGTCAAACGACGGCTGCGATGAACAGGCGAGCGGTTTCTTCGGCTGAGATCGATTTCTTGCACGCAGCGAAGCGTGCCATCTTCGTCAACCTGTCAACGACGACCATAACCGCGTCGTTACCCCCAGGGTTCGAAGGTAACCCCGTGACGAAATCCAAGGTAATCTGCTGCCAGGCGCGCTCAGGCGGTGGAATCGGCTGCAACTGACCCGCCTTTGTTTTTCGCGAGCTCTTCATCACCTGACACGTAGGACACGAGCCCATGTGGTGTTGTACGTCGGTCAACAGCTCCGGCTAGTAGTAATACCGCTGCAGTTGCTGTCGCGTTTTTTCTACCCCGAAATGTCCCGCGGTAATCCCGTCGTGTGCCTCCTGCAGTAACAGTTCCCTCAGTAGTGAGTACGCGGGTACCCAGATGCGGTTGGTGCCTGTTTTTACGTAATAGACTCCTTTGGCCTCTGCTAGTTGGTGTGAATTTCCGGTCGTGAAAAATGGGTCAGTACTGTATCCGTGGGTGAATAGGCCTGTTAACAGTGGGTTGGTTTGGGCGAATAGGATGGCGTGGAGTTGGGCGGTGGGGCGTCGGCGATGTTGGATGCGCCCTTTTTGTACGTGACCGTGTAGTGGAAGTTGGACTCCAGATAGTCCAACCAGCGGATCTGTCGTGGGTTGAGATTCGGTTGGGCGCGAAGGTACTGTAGTGATCGGTGGTCTGTCCGTACTGTCACGTCTGCTCTCGTGAGGTAACATCGCCACACCTTGAACGCGTGCACGATCGCCAGCATCTCGCGGTCGTGTATCGGGTAGTTGCGTTCGGGCGGGTGAAGCTTGCGAGACTCATACGCGATTAGCTGAAGGCCGTTCCCGAAGTCCTGCAACCGTACTGCTCCCACAGCGATGTCGCTAGCGTCGGTGACGAGATCGAACGGGCGGTGCGGATCTGCGATGTGAAGCATGGACGGCGAGCACAAAATATTTTTGAGGGCCGAGAAGGCAGCTTGCTCTTTCTCCCCCCACGTGTACTCGACCCCCTTCCTCAGCAGGTCAATCAATGGGGCAGTCAACTTCGCCATGTCGGGGACGAACCGGCGCACGTAGTTGACGAACCCCAGAAAACTCTGCAACTCGGTCAAGTTGGTCGGCGCGTGCCACGATTGAATCGTCGCGATCTTCTTCGGGTCTATTTCCACTCCTGCAGCTGAAATGATGTGTCCAAAAAATTCCAGTCGGTCCTGTAAAAACTCACACTTAGACGCTTTTGTCAGTAGGCGGTTCTCACTCAGTATCTTAAAAACTGCTTCGATGTCCTGTACGTGCTGTGTTGTCCAGATACACGATGACGCACTTGTCTAAAAGCGGGCGGAAGGCTTCGTTCATGGTCATTTGAAAGGTGTGTGAAGAAATGAGGAATGAATGAACTAGCAAGCAGGTGGGTACAAGTAGGAAAACCTAAAAGTGTTGTACCCCATATTGTCTACCCCACTACAGCCTACACAGACTATAGCATATGAGTTTGACACACCCCCATAGGCAAAGTGGGGGAGAACAAGAGGTCACAAGACCAGTCAAGCAAAGCAAAGCAAGCTCAGGGTGGATCACAACGTCACCACACATTTCGAGCACAAGCTCAAGGCCACAAGGCCAGTTCACATGCAAGATCATATATAAAGGTAAACAAGCAAGCGCAGGTATAGAAAGATCACAGTACAAGCAAGGTCAAGAAGTGAGCAAGTGAGGCCAAGTAGGCACAAGACCTAGCATCGTACAGAAGCGGTGATGATCACAAGGCGGAAGTGCCTTGGTAAAGATATCAGCAGTGTTGGCCTCAGAGGCCACGTAAGCAAGGCGCAGCTGACCACGCTGCTGCAGCTCACGAGCAAGGAAGTAGCGAAGAGCAATGTGCTTCGTTCTGTGCTCCAGTCTGTGCTCCCGACACAAGGCCAGCATGGCCTTGTTGTCTACGTACAGAACTGGAGGAGAACGAGGCGGCTCTCCTAGGTCAGTCAGCAGGTAGGTGAGCCAGCGTAGCTCCTGTGCAGCCATGGCCCCCGCGTAGATCTCAGCCTCACAGCTGGAGCCGAGAACAGAAGACGAGCGGGTAGACCGCCACGAAACAGAGCCGGAACCAAGGCTGAAGGTGTAACCCTGTGACGACCGCTGCGTAGCCTGGTCGTCAGCCCAAGAAGCGTCTGCGTGACCTGTGAGAACAACTGAACGTCGCCCTCCAAGCACTAGCCCCATGCCCGACGTACTGCACAAGTAGCGCAACACCCTCTTCGCTGCAGCCATGTGCTCTGGTCGGTGTCTCCCAGGAGCAACATAGCGTGCCAAGATGCTAAGAGGGTATGCAAGGTCAGGTCGTGTGCAGGTGATCAGGTACATGTGGCAGCCAACAAGCTCTGGGTACGGGCCACTCGGCTCTACGGACTCATCCGAAGGCAGAGCTGAGAGCGAGTGGCGAGTAGACAGAGGAGTGGCCTGAGGCGAGGAGTACGTGAAGTCGAAGCGCTGAAGGTCCTGCTGCACCATGTGTGACTGAGTCAGGGTAATGGTGCGCTGTGCTCTGTCCCGGGTGATCTGCAAGCCAAGGTAGCTGCGCAGTTCACCCAGGTCTGTGCACGTGTGTCTCTTCTGCAGCTCGGACTTCACGTGGGCTAGTCCAGCAGTGTCAGCAGTAGCAAAGACCAAGTCGTCGACGTACACGAGGATGGAGAACGGCGGCAAAGAGGTGTCGGTGCGCAGAAACAGCGACGGGTCGGCAGTAGAAGGAGCAAACCCAAGAGCCGCAAGTGTAGTCCTCAGTGTGTCGTGCCACTCACGGGGCGCCTGGCGGAGACCGTAGACTGGCCGCCGGAGGCTCCACTGGGTACCAGGGGGAAACGACCCAGTGAAGCCAGGTGGGCGGCGCAGCCAGATCTCCTCGTGCAGGCTGCCCTGCAGGAAAGCTGTGCTGAAGTCAAGAGAGTGAAGCTCGTAGTCGCGCTGAGCGGCTATGTGCAGCAGCACCCGAAGAGTGGTCATCTTCGGGGTGGGAGAGAAGGTCTGAAAGTAGTCAACTCCCTGCCGCTGACTGAAGCCTCGAGCCACGTAACGCGCCTTGAAGACAGGCGGAGAACCCGGCGGCCGCTTCACCCTGAAAATCGACATGCCACTGACGATGTTCGCCCTAGGTGGGGGAACCTCGTCGACGTAGGTGCCTGTGGACTTCCAGAAAGCCATCTCTG